TATAATTACCCTGGCCAAGTAACTTATTATAACGTTATTAAGCACTCACCTGCTCTCCCAAGGACTCATAAAATATGATAACAATATAAAAAAATATGAGAGATGAGAAATATTTGGAAAAAGATTTTTGTTAAGAGAAATTTTTATTTTCAGTTACAATATGTCAAGTTAAAACTCAGATAACACTTTTATTTAGAAAATACAATTTTAGATATAATAATTATCTAAAGGTAAAATAATTAATTAAAAAAATAAAATGAAAATAAAATAAAAAGTAAAATAAAAGGTAAGATAACTAAAAGATAAAATAAAAATAATAACTAAACTAATAGTAAAGATAAAATAAAAGATAAAATAATAAGTAAAATAATAAAAATAAATAAAATACTATTTTTTGTATTTTCAATATTTTCAAAAATTTTTTGTTTTTCTATTATTTTTGAAATTATGATTTTTTTCAAATTTATAAAATTATTATTATTGCTATAATAATATTTACTTTGTTAAATTTTTTCAAGTTAAAGTTCTTGATAGTTTTGATAAACTTTTATATTCTTTTTCAAAAATTATTTTTTTTAAACTGAAAGTTTTTAGTAATTATTTTTTTCTCAAATAATTTTCTTTTAGTTGATGAAATTAATGAATTTTTTGTTGAAAATAATGTAAACAAGCTTGAACTTCTTGTTTAATTATATTAGATTCTTGGTTTAGTATTTTTGCAAAAGTTTTTTTATTTTAGTTGTTGTCATTCTGTAAATTATTTCTTTATAAAATACTTTAAAGTGATAAAAAATTATTCTAATTTCTTGTTAAAAATATTTTTCTTCTTTCAAATATTTAATAATTATATTTTAAAATAATCTTTTAACTTTAGTATTTGTTGAGCTTGTCAAACAAAATTGAAAAAGTTTTATTTGATGTAATACTTAGTTTATTCACAGAGAATTTTTTATTCAAGTATGATTTTGATCAAAATTTGTTATTATTTTTGTGAAATTTAAATTATCTATATATTATTCACGTATTTTTATTAACTTAAAAATAAAAGAGACTAAGTTATATATTAAAAGAAACTAAAACAATTACTAAAAATAGATAATATATATTCTTGTTATAACAAGTTAGAATGATATCTAATAATTTTACTAAATTTTGTTAAGTTTCTTTATAATTTAAAAGATAATAATTTAAATAATAAGTCTTTCAAGTGATTAACTATCTTTCAAATCAAATATAATAAATTATTTATTACAAGCAATTTATCTTTCAAAATCAAAACCAATACAAAATATATAACTTTATTAAGTTATTATTGAAGTTTTAAGACTTATACCTTAGAAACTTATACTTTAGAAATTTATCTTCTAAAAACTTATCTCAAATTACTAACTAGATTATATTATTTTTATAATATTTAATAATTTTATGAATATTATTTTTGTTAAGATCTAATTGCTTGTTTTGCTAATATTATATTACTAATTTAGCTATAATTTTTTTTAATATCATTAAGCTAACTTTACTATAATTATATTATCTATTTTGTCATTTAATATTAATAATATGATCTTTTTTAGCTATTGTTCAATAAGATATTAATAAATTACATTATAATATGAATTTTTTAATAAAATATATAATAACTAATATAATAAAAATTCATATTATAACAATATCATATTAATATCCTAATTTTTACAATTTTTAATTATTTAAAACTTATTATATATTAAAGTTTATAATATAAAGCATTATATACTGGCTCAGAAATATTAATTCAATATAGCTATTATAAAAGAATTTGATTATATATAAATTAATCTATTATTTAGATATATTATTATTCAAATTAAAAAATAACTATAAAAAAATTTTTTTATTATAATTAATATATATTATAAAAATTATTTAATAATAATTATAAAGAAAATATAACTATATAGGAATTTTTTTATTAATTAATATTTGAAAAAGCAAAATTGAATAACTATAGAGAGATATAACTATAAATAGATATAATTATAAAAAGATTTGACTATAACTAAATAATATATAACATGTTAAACAATGACAATATTTCTAAAATTAGAATGGATTTGGATTAATGCTGAAAAATGAATTAATATTGACCAAAAATGAGCATGTAAAGTGTAATCTGAAACATGATATATATGTAAAATTATTTCACTAAGCAATATTTTCACATTTCGTATCCTTATTGGTCAACAAGCTCATGTGATCAGGATCCAAGGACAGTGATCTTATTTAAAATGACCTGTCAAATAATCTTGAACACTGACAATTACCATCGGTGAGCTGCATAATATCAAATTTATTGAATATAAAATATTCAAAATTTAAATGAAAAAATGGTTAGCTCGTCTTTGAAATAATCATTGCAGTAGTTTTTTCTTATACCTCCAGTTATAACCTTTGGAAGACACTATAAAGTTGTTGGTTTAAGAAATCTATAAATCTCGTGTATTATGATAAGATGATTATGTTATTCTAAACAAGACATGATGATGTACAATATAAAAGGGTTTCTAGTATTATATGTGTTATTATTGTTATAAGTGTATTAGGGAAATTTTCTGGAGTCCCGAAAAAGCCCAGCTTCTCCGGGGCTTTCACTTTCTCTCCTTTGATGAAATCGTGAAAAGAAGGAATAATTCGGCGCGTGAGTGTGTCACGTAATTCGAATTATCATTTACGTAATTATCATAGTATTAATGTATGATGAAAGAAAAAATACTATTTTCTCGTATGTGTTGGATTAATCATATTTGACATCTGATCGTTGTGCTATACCAATTTGACCTTCTCCTCGATCAAATATTACATAATAATTCTATTAGTGAAAAAAGCCATTAATTAATAATTGGTCAAATTTATCAATACTGAATATATGATACAAATACCTTAATAAAAGTATCACCAATAATCCATTGATTAGGATCTGGTTGAGTACCCTGAATACCACCAAGACATTGCTTAGGATTTTCTTTCGTCGGTTCAAACACAAGATCAGCTCTTGGAATCGGAAACTCTCGATTATTTATCAACAACTTCACAACAGGCAACGTTGAAACTTTTATATCACATGGAATCGTGTAAAATCCATCAGCAGAAATATTATAACCGGGAATAGTTCGATAGAACGCATTGGCTAATTCGTCATCGACGTAGACTACTGTCGAGCCCGAGTCAATTAGTCCGTTACTCTCGATTGGTCTGTTGGGTTTTATGCGAGAGTCGGCGGAAAGCTCTACACCGCCACTGGTGAATACTAGCTTTAATGGGATTATCCATTGATCTTTTACGGTTTGTTTTTCGTAGGTGATTGATCCTGGAATTAGCAATCGTTAGTTACCATTTTGTATAGAATGAACAATTAACAACAGAAAATAAGTACCAATAATTATTGAATGATCAATGCCACCGAACAAAAGTTGACCTCCGCCTCCTTTAACTAATTGTATTCCAAGTAACGGAGTACCAATCTTTTAAAATTTTATTAACAAACAAAAAAAATTAGCGTGAATCATTTTTCATATCATTCTTCATATTCATCTCAATGATATACTTGCCAATTTCTCTTTGATCATTGTCTCATAAACTGTGATATCACTAGGAATCGGTGATTTTATGCCCAATCCCAAGATACCATTACCCGGAGCTTCTCCCGTTATGTTAGTTCCAGCGAGAAATTTATAATCAGGAATTGTGATGTGACCGATCCTAAATACATCTTTTATATGATTGACAAATCAATTAATTAATGTTTTGTGATAATCTATTCAAGTGATATGATATATTTTCCCACCTCTTACAAGAGGTCCAGAAACTTTGAATCCACTCGCGAATTCTATTGTAATATCATCTCCTGGTTCTTTTTTCATAGTTTGCGAGAGAGAAGGCTGGTATGGCGCGAGAACAACGGTTGCTCCACTACCAGTATCTACTTGTAAATATACAGTTATTGGTGGTGTTCCGACTGGGATTGCAGCTGTCCACTATATAATAAATTATTTAAATTACAATATTATATGTTGATGTGTTGATCTATTTAAATAAAAAACATACCGAATTATCATTATCACGTGTGGAAACAGGCAGAATAGCATATGATGGAGGCTGCTGCGTTGTATTTGACCTTTTTAACTTTGGAGAACCCAATCGGATTGCAAAAGTATTAGGAGCAGGTGCTGGAATTGCAAATGTTGAGGATATTGCCAGCAACATCCATATATAGGCTATCATAGTTAATGTTGATCTTGTTTGATTCATTAATTATTGACGATCGACAATAAAATCAAACGGTAAATCAAGGAATAAATGTCTTCCTTTTCGTTTTTTTTTTGGTAGTGGGGGAAGGATGGACGGATTATATATTAGAATTAAAGAAAGTAATGGTTCGTTGTTACAACGACGCAATAGTTGTCTCACAAACGCATGACAGGCCACTAATAATTTCGGGTATTTATATAACATCGATAAAATTAAGACATAATTACGTATGTATATGTGGGTGACAAGGTTCTGTTGCTTCTATTGGGGAATATCAATATGTGCACGAAGAAAAGCATTGTTTTATAAAATTTCTGTAAGCATTCATGCATGATTTTTTCTTAGTTCTATTTATAATTCGCTCGCTCACCATTTACCACCTATTACACAATTTCCGCACTGTTGATTCAAAACCACTATCAAATAACCTCCCTTATCATACCGGATAACCACTATCAAATAACCTCCCTTATCATACCGGATAACCACTATCAAAAACTTTATAAAAGTTTTCTCACCAATACCGAAAAGTTTTCTTATTTTTAACTTTTCCGGATAAAACACGAATGGAAATTTTATTCTTTACCATAAAGATCACTCTGTCTGCGTACTATGGTTTACGTAAGGAGAACGTAGCGTGAAAATTCTTATGATATTCCTTTGTAAAAAAAATGATGAATTCAATCAAATAATCGTGCATTCCAAATATTGTGAAAGGAAACATCATTGTCTGCGAATTTCAGAAAAGAGAATTTAAGCTCGCCAAGCAAAAAGAATTACTAGAAATCATTTTAAAAACATCAATTTGAGGCAAAGTTCTAAAAGAAGTCGAAAAGCGATAAATTTGATGCACCAAAAATTTCTTAAATCTAATGTTTGTGTGCACCGATAAAATTACGTATGTACAATACACATGTATTATTTCATATTTTGTTTCATATTTTGTGCACCAAACATGATTCATGTGTTTCATTACTAGCTCTTCCGGGAAAAGACGATGCAGCATTATCTAAATCAAAATGTAACTTCACAATTTGTTTGTTCATTTGGCTAATAATGTGTATCAACTTCCAAATAACGGGGCCACTAAAAGCAAGGAATTTCACGTGACTTATAAATTCGATTCGGATCAAGTCAAAATCAAATCATGTAATTTGAAACATATAAATAACTAATAATCAATCAATATATACAAGTGATTCTTGATATGATGCATGACACTTAAAAACTGAAATCACGTGATTTTTATAAATAGAATATTCTTATTTTGGCAAAATTAATTTGTTAAAATTATGATATCAAATTTTCATTACTATATATAAAAGATATCTTGTTTTTTCTTATTTTAATTTTTCTCATATATATATATTACATGATAAATATCTTGTTTTTTCTTTTCAATATTGAATACCTGTTCTTATTAAATAGAATGCTTTATTGAAATTATTTAAAAAAAATATATTATTAAAAACACAAAATTTTATTAGTAAAAGTAATAAATTTGAAAACAAATATATAATTAATATTTTTAGTAAGAACACAAAATAAAATAAAATTTCTAATACTGATTTCAAAGTCAAAAATTTTTGATTTTATTCTATTTATTCTATAATGTTAGTATTTCTCACTTTTTTTAATATTTTGATAAATAACAAATTTACAAAATTATATTTTATTCTCTTATTTTTATCAAATATTTAATTTTATTTGATTATTTTGTATATTTATATCTTATTAATTTATATTTTTATTAAATATTATACTTATTTTTTTATATTTAGTTATATTATTAATTATATAATAGAACAACTTATTTTGATTGGTCCTAATTTATCAGTATATTATACAATAGGTCTAGGGTAAATGAAAAATATTATATAATTTTCTTAATAATAAATTTAACTTGTTCTAAAATTTTTTTTATAACTATAAGAAAAAATCTATATAAAGATCTTTCAATATACAAATACTTTTAAAAGAACTAAAATAATATCATTTTATTAAGTAAAAGATGAATTTATTTATTTATAAATTGAATTAAAAGCTATAACTAAAAGTATTTAGTTTAAAATTGATAAAAGTATATTGTTTTTATTAATTTAAAAATTGTTAAAATTAATGAATTAACAAAGTAACATAACAAAAACTAATGAATTATGATTAATAAGATTCATTAAAGATTTTAAAAATCTTTTGTGATAGTTTGTGTGTAAACTAACTAACTATTAACAATAAAGAATAGAAATAGATAGTGTTACCATTTTAATGGGACTTTCGAAATACTCAAAGATATTTATAAAATTTAAGGAGTATTCAAAGAGAAACTTCCAATGTCTTAACGACAATTTAAAACTTTAATAATACTTTATGACTTTAGATTGAATATAAATTAAAGTATGACAAGTACTTATAGAATCACTTAAAGGTTGATAACAGTTGTGTTCTTTTAATGTAATAACTAGACTGCTAAAAAGAATTCTCAAAATCTCAATGTCAAATATAATATACATATTAAAATGTCTTTAAATCTTTGAAGTCAAATATAAGATATAATATTCATATTATCAACAATACGAATCAAAGATAAGTGTATGAACAATGTATTATTAGCAATACAAAGTCAAAGATAAGTTTATAAGCAATGTATTATTAGCAATACAATCTCAAAGACAGATTTA